GATTGTTCTAGCAACTTGAAGGGGAAGTTAGATGCATTGGTGTTAATAAAAATTTGATGTTTGAAAATAGCCAGTGCTGCTATAGCACAAAAAACTATTGAAATTTTGTTTAATTGTATCTTGAATTATCAAATCGGGAGATCGAGATCGAGAGAGTTGTTTATAAATACGACATAGTATTGTATCATCAATCCGCAATCATTGAAAACAAAAAAGAAAAGGTTGACTAATTGATAAATCTCAATCGGCAGAAGATGCAACATAAACGATACATTGTTGGACACTTGTACAATATATCATCGCACCATACAATATCAAATGTCAGCTATTTGATGGCACATATCGACAAAAAAAATAATCAATTGCTTGATAATTTTTTGAGGTTAAATGACACAAATCCATATATTATTAGGGTTAATACCACAAAAACTACAAACTGGTACACCTGTAACAAATTTATCTCAAAAAAAAAATTTGACCATAAAAAATCCCAAACTGGTACACCTGTGACAAATTTATCCTCATTTAGCTTCCATCAAATTTCACCTTTAAATTTGCTGACGTTGATGGCACATGGTGATGTGGCGTGAAATCCATAGTGTAAATACTATGAAAAACTCCAAATTTGTTCGCTAATGGAGGGTAAATTTGTCATAGGATTATTAGTTTGAGGTTTTTTATGGTCAAAAAATTAGTTTAGGGTAAATTGTCACATGTATACTAGTTTGGGGTTTTTAATGGTCAAAATATTAGTTTTGAGTAAAATTGTCACAGGTTTACTAATTTTGGACTTTTAGTGATCAAAAAATTAGTTTGGGATAAATTTTCAGCTTGGAATTTTTCGTGGTATTAACCCTTTACAATAACATTCATCCTTGCGCATTAAATTTCTTCTTCCACGATGCGGTTCCGACCGGCGGCATCCACGCCGAGCACAAGGAACTCACTTTGTGACCCACAAGAATTCCGGCGAACCGAACCGTTACCACCACTAAAAGGAAGCTCATAAGTCATATGTACTGCAAAAATGAGGAGCCAATGGGATGATCACTCTGTGCTTTGTCCATTTGTGACCAAGACCAGCTTGTCAAATGTGTCGTCTCCACAGAAAATGAAAGTCCATCAGGCAAGAAAGCATGGCCACATCTCGTTCTTACGTATTCTGCACCTCTCGCCCATTATCTTTTGGCAATCACTCGTCTGGATGAAAACATTACCCCGAATTATTGTGTACCGAATTTTGCTTTATTTGTGTCGTTTTGGGATTATGTATTGGGTCGGTCTGTTTCCGGAAACATTCATGCTGCAGAATATGATTAATCAAGAGTATCATTTTCGCGTAAAATGACGTCATTTTCACGTATTTGGACTGGCTTTTAAAATGGAGTTTAGAGACATTTACCAATGTTTATTCCGTGGACTCAAGTAGGGATAAGCATGGTTCCAAAGTAAAATCCGAAACCGAAGACCTGGACCGGTGGGAATCTATTCGGTTCCAGGTTCCATCAAACCTGACACCTGGAACTGCTCACCCCTAAACTAAAATTCCAATCACATAAATCTTAGGTTTGGGCAGGACCGGGAGCGGTTGGGGTCCTTGGTCCTATTGCTGGAATATAACAACTCGACTTGGTCCTAATAGGTTAAGCCCTCCAAAAACAGTAACTTATCAAGATGTGTAAATTTGACTTGATTGTTCAAGTGCTTACTCGCAATTATTGGATCACTTTATAAAAATAATTCTATGCATCAATCTTAGTATCATTAGTTTTGGTATCAATTTAGGGGGCACCAAATGATGGTTAACATAATTACCTTCTGAAGACGCACTTAAGCCGCAGTATTATTGACCTTGTTCGTACTTTATACTACTTGGTAAGAGTGTACACTAAAATTGCCTTCAGCTGGTGGCCTCTCACCATCTAGGATGGCGGCAATCTGTACTTCACCTAACAATACCAAGCTTGTATTGAAAACTAACGTCTGTCTTAGTTATTTTAGTGATGAAAAGAAGACCTAGAAATATTTTTTGAGCAGACATTCGAGGGAAAAATTAAGAAAAAGGTTTTGCTAGAAGCATAAAAAATTCAAAAGAAGCGTTTGTGACCTAATTCTTACTCGAAAGCATTATATGGGGAGGTTACTTTATAGAGTGGATTTCCCACTGTAGCAGAATGATATAACCTTGCTAATTGGATCTCAGATTCTAATGAAACAAAATCCATGGTGGAGGTGCCGTAACTTGGAAATCAACCAAACAAATTTACAAGGGAAATGACAATCTTGCTGAACCAAAAGTCAACTTGGTTGAAGTAGATAATTCTGATGACGTAAATGTTGCGGTTATTTCTCATGCAATGTTGTGACTAATGTGAAGGAGCTATTAGTAAACATATACGTAAAAAAAAATGCTTTATCCTCCTACACTCAAATAGGGGAAGGATAAGAGATTATTTTTTTTAGTGATTCAAGAACTGCTCAAGTTTTCGGCAAATTTCTTAGCATATGTAATGTGGTAAAGCAATCACTTAAAGATGGAATTTTGTCCATTGATATTTGGCCAATCCTCTGACTATTCATCGAGGAGAATGGGACTTAAGCCAGTTGAGAAAAATCAATGATAACAATAACCCAACCTATTTGATTGGCAATTCTAAGAAAATCAACCGAGATGGTAACAAGTCGATTGTTGACTTAATGATGCGCTATTAAAAATTATTGTCCCTCCTATGGTGAGAATAATGCAAGACTGCAATGAAAGAGGGGTTGGGTTAAGCTCTAAATGATGTGTATTACATTGCAGCATACACTTGATAAGATCACCTATATATAAGTATGGAGCGGGGCCACTCCTATGAGAATTTTGGCAAAATCTTCGGAGCACTTACGAATAAACCAGGCATGCACACGACCTAGTAGCACAGAACCGCACCGAACAACAAAGCAATATACAAAAATTAAGCTGAAGTATATGTTAGGTACTTTCAAAAAAATAAAAGGGTTAATACCATAAAAAACCTCAAATTGGTATACCTATGATAAATTTACTAAAAACTAATTTTTTGACTACCAAAAACCCCAAACCGATACATTTATGACAAATTTACCCTTTGTTAGTTTTCGTTAAATTTTACTATCAAATTGCCAAGTTAGATGATATGTGAGAGATTACGGGTGTACTGATTACTCTCAGTTTATCACATGTGTACCAATTGTGATTTTTCGTAATATTAATCTAATTTAATAGAAACTAACGAAGGATAAATTTGTCACAAGTGTACCGATTTGAGGTTTTTGATGGTCAAAAAATTTAATTTGGAGTAAATTAATCACATATATAGCAGTTTGATGTTTTTCATGATATTACCCTAAATAAAAAGGGAAAAGTGCCAAAAAAGTCCTAAACCTTTTGCATTGGTATCAATTTAGTCCTAAATCTTTTTTTTGTGTCAATTCAGTCCTAAATCTTTTTTTTGTGCCAATTCAGTCCTAAACCTTTTGCATTGGTGCTAATTTAGTCCTAAACTTTTTATATTTGTGCCAATTCACTCCTAAACTTTTTATATTTGTGCCAATTTACTCCTAAACCTTTTGTCTTTGTGTCAATTCAGTCATTTCAACCAATTTTGACCCGATTTGCTGACGTGGACGCCGGCCAGCCGGCAGCCAGTTACTGGCGCTGACGTGGACAACTTTAATAATATTTTTTTATTTTTTATTAATATTTTTTTCTTTTTTTTCCTCCTCCCCTCCCTCCTTCCTTCAGCCGGTCGCCGAACTGGCGACCGGCCAGAGGCCAGAGGCCTGTGCCGGCGAGGCTCAACCTCACCGGCCACTGGCGAGGTCGGGCCTCGCCCAGCCGCTGGTGAGGCTCGCCCTCACCAGCGACGGCTAAGGCGAGCCTCACCATGGCTAGGTGAGGCCGCCCTGGCCAGTGGTCGGTGAGGGCGAGCCTCACCCATGGCGGGCGAGGTCGACCTCGCTGGCCTCTGACCTCTGGCCAGCCGGACTGCCTCGCTGGCCTTTGGCCTCTCGTCGGTCGCCGGTTCGGTGATCGGTTGGAGGAAGGAGGAAGGGGAGGGGGAAATAAATAAATAAATAAATAAATATTTAAATATTATTAAAGTTGTCAACGTCAGCGTCGGTGACCACCGGTTGGTCGGCGTCCACGTCAGCAAAATCCGGCCAAAATTGACCGGAAGGACTAAATTAGCACAAAAGCAAAAGGTTTATGACTGAATTGACACAAATATAAAAAGTTTAATATTAAATTGACACCATAAAAAGGTTTAGGACTGAATTGACATAAATACAATAAGTTGAAGACTTAATTAGTATCAAAAAAGGGTTTAGGACTAAATTGACACTAATACAAAAGGTTTAAGACTTCTTTGGCACTTTTTCGCAAATAAAAATATGCAAAATGTCACTTGGTGTAAGGTGGGCTGTGTGTTTTTGATATTTTCGTAATTTTTGGGTGTTCGGGGGTTCTCTATCTGTTGTGGAAACCATAGAATTTTGTCACCCTCGGAATCGCAACAGTTCCAAAACTCTAGCGTCACGAGATTCTCTCCACCTCGTGATCCGGGCCACACTGCACACGTTCCAAAAGCCCCCCCCCCCCCCCAGTCATTGCACCTCTCTTTCCAAGCCCGCCAGTCATTGCACCTCTCTTACCAAGGCAACAAACAAACAAAACAAGAAGAAAACAACCCGCGATCTCTGGGGCGACCATGCCATTCCTCACATGTTGCTCACCTCAAGAAAGGCTCCCAATTTACATAAACAAGAAATAACAAAAAGAAGAAGAAGAAGAAGCAGCTCCAAAAATGGACCCAAATTTAATAATCTACGCGGACGTAAACCAAAGAAAAATCGCCACCTCCCTCTCCAATCTCAATCTAGATAAAGAGAAAAATGAAAAGAAAAACATAAATGTTCATCTTTCAACTTCATGTGAATTATGAAAGAGAAGACAAGCAGCAACACTAGTAGTCATCTCCAACACCCAAAACCATCCACCAACTCATCAAATTATTTCACACATCACCACCTCCAAGACCTTACTAAAAATTAACCTAATCACATCTTCCTTTCTTTTTTTTTTCAACCTAACAATAGTAGAGAACACCACAACAAAAAAGAAGAAGAAGATGGCAATTGACATATAGTAATTTTGAGAAGAAAAAAAATTGCACATCTAAATGCTTAGCGTTGCGGAAGCGGGTTCCACTTTCCTCAATTGGATCCCGTTCTTCTGCGATTCGTCCTCTTCGTGGTACACGTAGGCGAAGCCGCCGTGGCGGGTCAGATCCATGCCCGCCATCTCGTCCTCCGCCGAGATCCGCAGCAGTTTCAGCTTGTGGAGCACGAAGAACAGCGGCCCCATGGTGGCGCTGACCCACCCGGTTATCACCAGGATTTGGATCACGTGCGCGGCCAGGAGCCTCCCGCCGCCGCCCATGAGGAGCCCGTAAGGGCGGCCCGTCCCGTAGACCTGGGCCACGTAGTCCTCCGAGGCGAAGAGCGCCGTGAAGAGCACGCCCCACGCGCCGCACCCGCCGTGGAGCTGCGCGGCCTCGAGCGGGTCATCGAACCTCAACTTCTCCGCCAGCTTGTTGCAGCCGATCAGCACCCCGGCGGCGACGAACCCGCATATGATCGCGGCCCAGGGCTCGACCACTGAGCAGCCGGCGGTGATGGCGGCGAACCCGCCGAGGAGGCCGTTGCACACGTCGGTCACGTTCCAGTGCCCGGAGAGGAGGCGCTTCCCGAACAGCGTGGTGAGCGCGGCGGTGCAGCCGGCGAGGGTGGTGGTGACGGCGGTCCGGCCGACGGCGCTCCACTGGCCGTAGTAGCTGCCGCTGGCATACGGGACGAGGATCTTGTTGAACGAGCCGGGGTTGAAGCCGTACCACCCGAACCAGAGGAGGAAGGTGCCGAGGACGACGAGGGAGGCGGAGTGGCCGCGGAGGGCAACGGAGCGGCCCGAGTGGTCGAAGCGGCCGATGCGGGGGCCCTCGATGAGGGCGCCCCAGAGGCCGGCGATGCCGCCAACCATGTGGACGACGCCCGACCCGGCGAAGTCGATGACGCCCGACCCGAACAGCAAATCGCCCGAGTTGAAGGCGCTGGCCCACCCGTCCGAAGACCAGAACCAGTGGGAGACGACCGGGTAAACGAACCCGGTCAAGAAGGCGGAGTAGATCAGGTAGGCGACGAACTGGGTCCGCTCGGCGATGGAGCCGCTAGTGATTCCGGCGGCGGCTATGGCGAAGGCCCACTGGTAGAGGAAGTTGCTGTAGTCGATGGTGGGGGAGGGGACCTTCTTGAGGCCGAAGAAGTGGTGGCCGATGAAGCCGTTGGAGGGGGAGCCGAAGGCGAAGGCGAAGCCGAAGAGGTAGTAGAAGAGGCCGCCGGCGGCGGCGTCGAGGACGTTGGTGAGCATGATGTTCATGGTGTTCTTGGCGCGGACGGAGCCGGCGCAGAGCATGGCGAAGCCCAGCTGCATGGAGAAGACGAGGTAGGCGGAGAAGAGGAGGTAGGTGGTGTCGACGGCGTAGGAGGTGTCGGAGAGGCGGTCGGAGACGGCGGAGAGCTGGCCGCAGATGTAGGAGGCGGCGGCCGCGGCGTCGGTGGCGTTGGGGCCGAAGAGGGGGGCGAGCTGGTCGGCCGAACAGGTGGCGGCCGAAGCCATGGTTGATCGAGAGCGAGAGAGCTAGGGTGTGGGTGTTGTTGAGAGGAAATCAGGGGAGGGACATTGGTTAGGTGTTTAAAAGGAGGGCGACTGAGTCTGAACGAGGAGAGAGAGAGAGAGAGAGATGCCGACTTTTACTCCGCACGAAAGGAGACGAAGAGAAAAAAAAAAAAAAAAAAAGAGAAGATGAAGCTGCGCAGAAAGAGAGATATACTAAAATAACATATGAGCCGCGCCATTTCCACATCTTATGTAACTAAATCCATCCAATTTTCATAAGAAAAATACAAAATTACCCGCAATCATTCCATTGCAATTTAAGTGATCGCCACAAAGTTATTAATTTTCCTTTATTGCAAGTTTTCCAATATATCGAAGGCACTGCATTTTTTCCATTATTAAATTTTACTTCCATAAAAATTAGTTTTGTCGGAAAAAAGAAATTCCCAAGAAGCCTGTTCTTTGCTATGTTGTCGAGCGAATTTAAGGATAAATTATCAAGTAAAATCTAATTTTTTTTATATAGACAATTCTTTAACATGATCACTCGTTAACAAATTTGCACTTTTATTTTTATATATAGGATGATGAGATGAAGCAAAACAAAAACTTTTTTTGAAGATTTTCTAAAATAAAATGACAATTAAGTTCTCCAACTGAAAACTTTAAAAGATGGAATTTAATTAAATAAAAATTTGCATAAAATAAATTTTTTTTTAAAAAATGCCGATTAAATCTCATTATGTTGAATTGACTGAAATTAATATCATCCACGAAGTGTTTAAGAAAAAAAATGTCAAGATGCCTCACTGTGCGTAATATTTTTAGTAAATTCCTAGACATTCCATGATGCCTTACATTTGTGTAAAAGCATCTCACCAATAGTAAGGGAAAAAGGCAAGTTCTTCAATATATTAAATAAAGAGTCGTGATATTTATGTTAGACTAATGAAATGAAAAATTAAAAAAATCACCAAGAAAGTGAGCTTTTGAGATAAGAGGGAGAAATAATAAATTTTTTTTTTATAAGAGCAATAATGAAGAAGAGACTTTCAACTTTTTTCACTGTATCCAAGAAATTGTCTTTTCTCCTCACTAGTGGCTTTTCATAAAGCTTGTAAAGCATTATAGTGATATCTAAGAATACACGAAAAAAAGTCCTTTGATACACTAAAAAAATTAAAACATGTAAAATGCATAATTATTGCAACTAGATCCTTAATTGAAATAGAAAACTTTAGAAAAAAAGAAGGAATGTGGCATTAACTTTAATTCGCAATTGAATGATTGAGAGCAATTTAGTCTTTCTAGTGTAAATAGGATGGATTTAGTCATAGAAGGGGTGGAAATAGCGCCGCCCTATATACAATTAATATAATTTTGTTTTGTTTTTTTACACAAATGGCATCATTCTTTTTTATTTAAAAATTATAAGTACCCTCTCTTTTAAATCAATAGTATATGATATCATTTATGTAAACACTGATGTATTTCAATATGTAGGGAAAAGTGCTAAAAAAGTCCTAAACCTTTTGCATTAGTGCCAATTTAGTCATAAACCTTTTTTTTTGTGCCAATTCAGTCCTAAACCTTTTGCATTGGTGCCAATTTAGTCATAAACCTTTTTTTGGTGCAAATTCAGTCCTAAACCTCTTAAATTGGTGCCAATTCAGTCCTAAACCTTTTGTTTTTGTGCAAATTTAGTCTTTCCGGTCAATTTTGACCGGAATTTTGCCGACGTGGACGCCTGTCGGCCAGTCACCGGTGCCGACGTGGACAACTTTAATAATATTTTTTTGAATTTTTATTTTTTTTCCACTTTTTTTTTGGTCTCTTCCTTCCTTTGGCCGGTTGCCGGCCGGCGAGGGCGAGCCTCGCCTTGGTAGAGCGAGGCTCGAACCCTCGCCGGAGGCCGCGGCGAGGGCGAGCCTCCCCTTGGTCGGGCGAGGCTCGAGCCCTCGCCGGAGGCCGCGGCGAGGGCGAGCCTCGCCATGGTCGGGCGAGGCCCGACCTCGCCGGATCTGGCGAGGTCGCTGGGCGAGGCTCGACCTCGCCAGATCCGGCGAGGTCGGTCCTCGCCCGACCATGGCGAAGGTCGCCCTCGCCGCGGCCTCCGGCGAGGGCTCGAGCATCGCCCGACCAAGGCGAGGCTCGCCCTCGCAGCGGCCTCCGGCGAGGGTTCGAGCCTCGCCCGACCAAGGCGAGGCTCGCCCTCGCCGCGGCCTCCAGATCCGGCGAGGGCTCGAGCCTCGCCCGACCAAGGCGAGGCTCGCCCTCGCCGCGGCCTCCGGCGAGGGCTCGAGCCTCGCCCTCTCCGCGGCTTCCGGCGAGGGCTCGAGCCTCGCCCGACCAAGGCGAGGCTCGCCCTCGCCAGCTCGCCGGCCTCTGGCCTCTGGCCGGTCCGGTGACCGGCCAGAGGAAGGAAGAGACCAAAAAAAAAAAGTGGAAAAAAAAAGAAAAAAAGGAAAAAAAAATAAAAATTCAAAAAAAATATTAAAATATCATTAAAGTTGTCCACGTCGGCGCCATGTTAGCGCCGATAACTGGCCGCCGGCCGGCAGGCGTCTACGTCGGCAAATTCCGATCAAAATTGGCCGGAAGGACTAAATTGGCACAAAAACAAAAGGTTTAGGACTGAATTGGCACTAATTTAAAAGGTTTATGACTGAATTGGCACCAAAAAAATGTTTAGGACTAAATTGGCACCAATGCAAAAGGTTTAGGACTGAATTGGCATCAAAAAAAGGTTTAGGACTAAATTGGCACTAATGCAAAAGGTTTAGGACTTTTTTGCCACTTTTCCCTCAATATGTGCATCACGAGAAGTTATTCAAGAAACCTTAATTTTGTTTTTAAAAAAGGAGAGTTTACTACTTTCTTATTTCCTTTTCTCCTGGCCAATTTAATTTATAAAATTATCCATATCAATGGCGATGCTTGTGATATATGCACCACAAAATTACACAGGTTATGTACTTAACATTATTTTTTTTTACGAAGTTTAAATTTTCTTTTACCAATTTCAAAACCCACCCTTGGCTAGGAACCATCAAGTGTGTGTCTATATATATATTGGGGTTGCTTTCTTAGGGAAAAATATGACCAAAAAAAATTCTGAAAAATGAGATAAATATATGATCATCTTTGGGAACAATAACTTTTTTCGGTGTGAATGAAGACTTTTCAAATTTGATACCGTTCGGGGTGTTCCGAGGGTGGGTTTTGGCCTAAATATAGTCTGAGACTGAAATCAATCAGCCTGGTGCATGTACTTTATTTTGTTAAGAAAAAAAAAGTTAAATATTCTATACCCTGATAAATTCTTTATTGAAAATATTATATTTCCATCTGCCAAATTTAAAGGTTCGAACACGTAAATTAACAAGGGAGGACCTTCTAATTTCATATAAAGAAATAAAGTTCAAATATTTCAACTCACGAGACCCTTAAGTACAATAACCAAGGAAGCTTCTATATTTTAGTGCTAATGGTCATAAGAATCGAGGCCATTTTAACCCTAAAAAAGCAACTATTTCAGCATGTTTCCTATCACTATTATTTGATGGTTAATCTAAGTCTTTTTACTCCTTTACTAAGGTTTTGGGCGAATAAATAATTTGTTTATTATTTTAATATTCTTTGATTTTTTTTAAATTTAAGTCCGCTATATTTCGATTCAGTCCTGACCTTTAGGCTTTCTGTCTACTGCCTAAGGTGAACTTAAAAACAATGAATACAGAAATTAAAAAAAAAAGCTTTCTATTATTCTGCCAAAATCCAAAACATTAATCAACTTTTTAAAAGTTACAAAAATAGTGTACAAGAACTTATGTTAACATTTGTATCTTGTTGAGATTCATGTTTTTCGAATTGATGAACCACATTGCTAGTTTGGGTAAAATTTAGGAGTCATATTAAATAAATTAAAAGCCACATTACATATTGAGCCAGATTTCAACAACCTTTTTCCTTGTTATCCCAAAAAACTATCAATTGTAAGATTGTGATTGTGAGGAAGCTTCTCTTCTTTCTTCCTAACTTTTTATTAGTGGGGATGGAAACTTGGACCATGTTCCCATGAAATCCCGTAGGAGACTCATCGCTGACCAGTCTCACTTAACTCAAGTTGTCAAGCCACATAATATTACTTTATATTAACCACTGTAAATGCTACTCCTATATTTCAGCGAAAAGAAAATGCCGCTCCAATATTCTCGATTTTCAAAATATTAGTATATTTCGAAAGACGTGGCAAAGAGATATTAGTGAAATGAAAATAACAATATTTTTTTTATTGATTGTTTCACAAATGTCCTGACTATTGAGCGAACGAATTACGAGTGCTTCGTATGCACCGCGTTGGATGTGGTCTGCTCCTCCTCCTTTGGTTAGTCGATCCTATTCAACCTTTTCGGTCGCCACCTACGAACCATCTTAGCTTGGTAAATCATCTTGTTTCTCAGAGGAAGAAACACATGGTTTATATCAATTGATCTAGGACCCTACTATTTATACGGAACGGCAAATACATGACAGAAAGCAAAGAAATGACACAAGAAATGTAAGAGGTTCGATTGATGTGACTTGTGTCCATGAATAACATAAAGGGCAAAAATTTATCGGTCAAAATTTGGAATACGACACAAGGGAAACCTATAAAAATTCTCTAACCTCTAAAATACCCCAATATTTATCATACACTATTTCTGAGATATTACAAAATTAATGCTCATTTATGTGTATATTTATTGATACTCTAAGAGGAAATGCTGGAAACCAATATATTAGTACCCTCCGCTTCTGCCACAAATCTTATGATCAATCGGGTCATTGCAATTCTATCAAATTGAGTCAGAAATAGGGATGGTGCATCCTACTTAATAGAGGTGATTGGTTCCTGATCCGGTCCCATCAAATTGAACCGGTCACTTATTTAACATGAAGATGAAATTAAAAAATAAAATAGATGAGAGATTTTGGCTTTTATCCTGCAAAAAGAAAGAGGTCCAACCAATCAATAAGAGAAATCTTCCATGCTTTTCTCCGGCAAATTTCGGCCAGCATGATTAAAGGAATTAATTCCTCCAGACTACATAAAAAGAGGCAACAAATGTGGCAGTGATAGAAGAGGGAAGCAAAAG